ATGGACACATCACATAACTGTCCTTGCTGGCGCTGCTGGTTTAACTTCTGCAAAATGGTGCTAGAAAAATCTGGAAATTCCACTCGGAAAGAGCTTGACCCAGACTCCATTTCATTACAAATTTAGTGTTGTGCTGTAAGGGAAAAAAAAAAAAAAAAAAAAAAAAAAGACAAAACCAGAAATTCTGCTTAGTAAACTATTGATCTTTCAATTTCCTTTTTCTTTTTTTCTTTAACAAATAAGACTTAAGCAGACTCATATGGAACTCAACCCAGTATTTTCTGGAACCTATGCTACTCTGTACTTCCATTTCTCCCACCCTACCCCATTTCTCTCTTTTCTGAAAGTTGTACTGAGGCCACAAATTGCTATGCCAGCACATTTTGTTGTGTTTCATCTATCCAAGAGGACTCATCAACTACAGCAGGAATTACAAACAGCATGCTACCCAGTTGAGATAGATTAAGCATTTCAAGCATGAGTTTAAGATAACAAAACCAGTTATTTGATGAAATTACAGCAGTGGAGTTCTAACTCCAGGATGTCCCAGAATTTATAACAGCTTATGAATGATTCTGCATTTCAACTGCCAACAAAATATTCTCATTGATCCCCCAGTAAAGAATGATTGTACTCTTACAAAATACTTCACTTTAAATGAAGTCTTCAAAAGCCAACATATTGATTCACACATTGATAAAGGCAGCACAGATAAAACCTTAGTGAGAATGATGCTTACAACTCTTCCAGTAATATTTCTCTGTCTTTTTATTAACTGAAAGGTGGAATAACAATATGTTGTACAGTTGCAGGACTATAATCCAATCTTTCAATTCTGAGCTTTTTCAGATGTTTTTTCAGATAACATTCCTCACTTTAATAAAGACATTACAGAATTTAAAATGTTAATCAGGAAAGTGATAGATCTGCTGTACAGATTTTTTCCTGCATGTACCTTCTGTATTTGTAACAATGTAACAATTATATGCTAGAAGCTCAGCTAAGAGCTCACAGATTTTAATGCTTGTATTCCCACATGATCCAGATGTCTTATTGCAAAGTTAAGTGTTTTTTAAGCTAGTAAGATTCTTTAAAATGTCTACTTTAAATTGAATTTGAGATAAATTTGCATTAGAAATAATGACAAAAGTTTGAATGCAATTAGAAAAGACCAGTGTTAACTGCCTGGAGAAGTTAAACTTGTTCAGTTTTTCAGTTTGATAAATCATAGATTGAATACAATGGAATTCCAAAAAAGCCATGGAGCAGCAAGAAGTTTTCCTCTGTCAAGTTCTGTTTCTTCTGAGAAAGTGTCAGTTTTAACAGATGGGGCTGCACACCTGAGAGAAAATACTTAGTAAATTAGCAGATAGTGTATACATACAGAATTTAAAGCACTTTAATATGCTGCAAAATTAGAACTTGCATTACGAACAGCTGGAGGACTCTGAAATGGAAATACACCTATGGAAATATTGATTTGAGAAAATATGATTACAAATCCCTGCTACAGAGAGTCTGTACAGTAGCCACAGTACTTTCCATATTGTTATATAACCACCAATAGAAAACTGTTCGTTTGGTGCACTGTGTTAAAATGCTGGCACATCGGCACAAATGTATGACTGCTAAGTGCAGAAAAACCAGCAGTGTTTTCTTACAAAACACAAACCACACAGGAGTGATTATGTAAATCACTCAACGTTTAATCAACAGCTCATGGTTACATAATCCCTTCCTTACCATTCTGATCTGTTTTCAAACTCATATTCTAGACAACTCTCTCTCACTCGCCCAAAAAACTCAAGTGTTCCATCTCTAAAAGTTTCAGAGCTAAAAAACAATGACAAGTATATGGAGCATAAGTGAACAGACTATTCACTGTTGTCTCATATAGAGGTGAACAGGTTTTCCATAAGAAAACAAGCATGTGGGTGTTGGAAAGCCATCAAGATTTTTCAACAAATACAGCCCAAACTCCTTGTAAACACTGAAACCGACATCTGCAGAACCGTGAAGATTATGCTTTTAAATTTCCTTTTTACTTTCTCATTAGAAGCATGGCATCAATCCGACTATCTTATGAAGGTCTCCGAAGAAAACAAACTGGGAAGAATGACCTGTTATATATGAAACCCATTTGTAACCATAAATAATCACAGCAACCTAGTCACGGCAGCATAGAAAAAAGGTACCTTTTTTGACCACAGTTTCCTTCTTTCTTCAAATCTTACACTAATTTCCAATGTTAGGTAGCAAGAGGAACTGAAAGGTCTGAATAAAGCTCCCATTGAAGGAGAGTCAAATAACTAAAAATTTCGTAGTTGAGCACCATAACTTGCTATATGTAATCACATACACTTCTACATTTTCATAAATTGTATGTTTACTGTAAAAACTATTTTACTGGTTGAAACAACTGTTTAACTTAAGCGGTGTTTACCAAGTATCTTGGGATCCTCAGATTGAAGATGAGAATCACTCATAATTTTAATGCTGGGTTTCTTTTTGTGTTTTGTTTGTTTGTTTGGTTTTTTTAATACTTAGTGGCACAAGGCAGTCTTCCTACAAATACTGCCTCCGTACATCACGGGTGAGCAGTTACATTCTGCTGAGACAGTAATCAAGATGCATCAGCTGAGGAGACAGACTAAAACTTGCATATCTAGCACACCACTACTTTCAAGTGCTTTAACAGCTTATGAAAGAGGAAAGCCCTTTACATCACAAAGCATTACCCCCCAGCGTCTTCACAGCTTGCTTTACGCATCTGACAAGCTGAAAATGATTATGCAGATCCTTGAACAAGCTTCTTCAGATGTATTCCCCAAAATATAGGGAAATTTCACATGAAGGTATAAACCAGAAAGTAGCACCATTTCCCCACCTTTCAAGCAAAATAAAAAGTCTAGAGACAGTAACCAACTCACTAGAAGTGAATTACCAGAAACTGTCACATCTGAAGTGTAAATGTGGAATTTGCATTGAGTACTACTACACTGATAGCCTAGCTGTCATACAACCACTTTTAGCTAGTGCAAGAACAATCTGTATGACTGTAAATATAAACTGTTCAGTAGTCTGAATGATTCTTTAATTTAGTAAATCCAAGAGAATATTAGAAACAGCAGATTTTTAAATTACTTCCTTGGAATAGGAACCTCTAAAAAGCTTGCAGTTCAGCTGGTCTTCAAGTTGTCATCCACATAAAAGCAGAAGACCACCTTTAAATTTACTGGTTTTGGCACTCCTCAGTTTTTGCATCAAAGTATCAGTCCTGCTATGTATCCATACAACCAATCCACTTCAGGAGAACTAAAGAGCTACTGATATTTCTCCAGAGAGTAATAGAATACTATGCCTCCCAGTTCAATTGTTAGTTTTTCTTACCACTTTGCTTAAAGCAACTTGACAATGTTATTTAAGTATTTCAAACAGTTATGTTATACTTAGCATACATGATAAAATATCTTTTTTTTAAACAATCGGATTTTTTAAATGCAGATGCAGTTCTTTACCTCCTTTCAGAATGTTCTCAGATTTCAGACTCTATCTTTCAAAATGTGCATATAAAAAATGATAAGCCTTCAGGATACATTCAAGAGAAATTTAGAGACACATCTGTAAACCTTATATAGTTATTGCTAGTCTAAAGTGCCACCTTCCAGCAAGGACTCAGTATGCCACTACAGAAACAATTCCAGGTCGGGGCAGAATTTTATCTATTTTAAATTCACACGAAAACCAAAGCCATCAAAATGTAAGTAAAATGTTTTCTGTGTGCACGGACATGTGAGTAAAGCCACACGTGTCGAGCAAACTGTTTTTCCAAAGAGGTTTCACTTCCCCCTTTTAAAGCCTGTTCTGCTTCTTTCTGCATTTTCTTTATCCCAATTCGTAAAGAACAAAGTCTTTGCGCTTTAATTAATAAAATGTCTCCATGCTGCAACACTGAGTAAGACATAGAAGACACTAAAAATAACGCCTAAAATGAGCGAAGAAAGTGGTAGTAAGTAGTTACTTCAGTTCTCTGTACGTAGAGCCTCTGAAGAAATCGGTCTCTCCCGTCTGCACCGGCAGCAGCTCAGAACGCTGCAGCGCCAGGTGCCGCGGCCGCGCGGGCAGGGCCCAGTCCGGAACGCGTTCCGTGGACGCGGGCCCGGCCAGGCCCCGGCGCCCCCCGCGGCCGAGCGGCGAGCGGGCCGGCCCGCGGGCCGTCCCTGGAGCGGGCTGAGCCCGGCGCTCGCCTCCCGCGGCTCCTCAGCCGGCCGGGGAGCGCCGCCTCTGCCAGGCAGCGGCGCAGGAGCCCGCGGGCGCGGCGGGGCGAGGGAAGGCCGCGCTCGCCGCCCCAACCCGGCGCGGGCCCGGGGGAGAGGGGCCGGCCGCAGAGCAGCCTCCCGCGGGCCGGCGGCGGGCAGCGTCTCACCTGCGAGCCTCAGAGTCTCTCGCATAGCGGGATGCGACCCCGACCCCAGCCCCAGCGCTCGGTGCGGCCGGCACCGCCTCCGCGTCCCCGCCCGGCCGCCGCCGGAAACAGCCCCCCCCCCCGCTTCCTGGGGAGCGCTTCCGCATCCCGGTCACGCGGCGGCGCGGGCCGGCCCGCCTGCTTCCTGGCCGCGAGGGGCCGTCCCGCCCCGCGCGCCCCAGCCCCGCCCTCTCCGGTGCCGCGCGGCGGCGGTAGCGCGGCCGGGCGCGAGCCTTCCTCGCGGCGGCGGCGCCGGCGGCGCCCCCTGCTGGCGCGGCGGTGCCCCCTGCCGCCGAGGCTCCGGGAGGCTGCGCAGGCGCAGCGGTGGCCGCGCTCCCCGCGCAGCGTCTGCGCTCCCCTGACGCGCCCGCCCGCCGGTCCCCCGGGGCCGCTCGCCCCGCCCGCCGGTCCCCCGGGGCCCCTGGCCCCGCGCCCGGCCCGCCGGCCTCTCTGCTCGGAGAGCTGCCTCGGCCCCTCCCTGGGCGTCCCCAGGTCTTCGGGGCCCTTCCCGTGCTGCTTCGTTTTAAAATGTGTCTGAAAAGTCTCTGAGCGCTCACCCGGCCGGGGGAAGTCTCAGCAGGGCCGTCAAGGTAAATACCCGAAATGCCGCTGCTGGAGTTTCGCAGGGACATTTGAAGTAGCCGGAAAGGTAACGATCGAGCGGCAAACCCAGGTATTGCTACAAACGGCTGTAAAAAGGGAAGGAGCGCCAGTCGTTGGGAATGTAAGTCCTGCTGAGAAATTCGGGAGGAACTAGATATTTTCGGAGTCCCCTGGAGGAGAAATGAATTGTCTGTTTACTATGGTATCACGTCTTCAGCTGGCTTCTGAATACAGTAGGTGATTTCTGAACACCCATCTAGCTGCCACACAGTGAAGAGTCCTGGAAGCAGATGGGCTGACAACGGGCATCTAGTCTGCCCAGCCAAAAGGTATTGCTGCCAGAGAGTAAATCAGTTTCACAAAACTATGTCTAAACTAACATGTGGTAGTAGCAACTAAAGAGAGCAGTGTAATTTCATCAAAAATTCTCAGTTGTTGAAAAACATTGTTACAAGGCTGAGACTAATACATGCACTATAATTTCCTATGAACAGTATGGAAAGCATTATCTCTTTAATGAGCACCAGATCTCCAAAACGAGTTGTTTGTATTACATAAGAGGCACAATCCAACAAGCCATCAAAAGCAGGTTACATTATACGTTTCACAGAAGAAATGCAGTCTAATATATTGAAAATGAACAAAGGAGATACATTTTGGAGCAGAACAACAGTCCTTCCCAGTCCAGCTTCCCCCTCTTTATTTTCCTCAGCAAGTTAATGTGCTTTGCAGGAAAGGGTAAGAAATTATAATATGCAACTTTGTAGGAAATTATCCACAAGAAAATTTTATATTAAAGTTTACTTTACCACATTACTAGTTGTCTTAGTATGCCTTGAGGCATTATTTTTCTATTTATGAAAATACACATCTTTATTTTAAAGTTAAGACTTCTTCTTACAATTCTTGAAGTACTTCCTGTAATTTTCTGACTGAGAATAAGTACATATATGTAAGGAGGGACTGAATCCCATAATGCCTTCTTCCTACATTGTAAAAACATGATTTACACATTCTTCAAGCCTGTTTCTTTGGATTAATGTGGCATTCGCCTTTCTGATTTCCTGATGATCTAGAATCAAGAATTGTTCAGCAAGAACTCCATGTGTAGAAATGCAGCATAAGATGAATGTATAGCAAGTTCATCTCTAATTAACTGTTAATAAATTGTTCTGTGTAAAAGAGAGTAATGTTACTGTATGTACTTTGGAGGTACCATTTACGTATTGGCAGAGGAAAGAATACTTTTTTTGGCCTGCCCTCAATCTACTGCTATGTGTGAGATACATAAGGATGGACAGATACATCCTGGTAAAGTTCTTCCTTTTTCAAGTTTTTCCTTCCTTTCTAAACTATTTCAATTCAAGGCTTAGGCCAATATTATTTGTAGAATTCTCTTCATGATGAAATAGTTGAATTGAGGAAGCATGGTTCAGGAACTGCTCCTGAAGTATTTTTAGTTGTTCCTATACTGGCCATGAGAACAAAGTCTTAGAGCTGAGTCAAACTTCAAGTCTCTAGCAAGGCAGGTAGAAGCTGTGAAAATGGTTTCAGAGAGGTGTAGAGGCAGCTGCTCTGCTTGTTCTGAATCCTCTTCTGGGCAAAACTACCAGGCACCCCGGCATTATTTTGCAAGGTTGAGGTTTCTGCTCAGTAGGTAGGTTAAGAGAAAGGGAGAAAAGTATTTATGAGTTAGAAGGCAAGATAGGAGGCATATAGGAGTCAAGCCAAAATGAGAAGAGTGATGGCAGGTTTTGTGTGTGTTATCTTTACAGATGCCTGTGTTGTGCCAGAAGCACCATGGATGTGTGTAAGAGGCGTAAGGAAGATGTATGGCATTGTTTGCTCAGGGACAGCATTCTTGGATTCTCAGAACAAGCTGTCAACACTCTTACTGGTGACAGTTTAAAAATGTGATTGTTTTTGCATCTTGGGAAAATGGGGGTTTGAACCAATACTGGGTATGTAACTAAGTGCTATGTTGTGAGAAATAATGAGTCAGAGTAATAGACTGTTCAAGAAAGTGACTTCTACAATCAGTTTCAGTGAATGTTCATCTTGGAGCTTTAACAAATAAGGGAAAGCAGACTCATGTAGCTTTAGCCCAAGTAGCAGGATGAAGGAAAAATACTCTCATGTATGATGAAGGAGCAGCTCTAATTTAACTCAAAACATTTAATTTGCTTGTCAATTAACTTTTTTTCTTTTTTTCCTTTTTTAACTGAAGTTTAAGAACAAACATATATTCCCAGATCATTCACCAAACTGACCAAAAGGAAGAACAGATACCTTCCTTTTGGAGTCTTCAAGCCAGGATGACTGAAGAAATACAAAGGACAACTCTATCCTCCAGTAGTACTGCCTTTTTTGTCTGGGTATTAAAGTATATTACATACACTTAGGTAAGCATTGTTCTATTTATATTGTCAGAATTGAGAGGCTGGTTTAGTGATTAGAAGCCAGGATGTATTAAACTAGAATTTAAAGAATACCCATATAGTGTAATGTGTATAATTTCTCATATTACCTGGAGTGTATCTACTGAATTTAATCCTCCTTGAAAATTGGCCTTAATGACAATGATTGGGAGGGGCTCAGTTCCTGCAATTCACTTCTAGCTACACTTACTTCAGAAAGCAAATTTAATACAAAATCGAGCACTGGAAAATAAAGAAGTAGTAGGAGAGTTGCCAACATCACATGTAGTATACTGAAGTGATGTGTTTGCTACTCAAGGATTGTGATAATGCCTAATTGCTTTAAAGATTACTTTCTTTCTGTGGTTTGATTTGGGAGTTGATGTATTTTCTAATATAAGCAGTCAATAAGAATAATACTGTCACCACCAAATTTCCCTGAGGAGCCCTCCTTTTCCTCTGTTCTGCTGATGCTCTCTATTGCAATGTTTTCAACACTGCTGTAGGCACTACTAGGAGGGGACCACCAGAGAGCAGTACTTGATTCTACTGTCCTAGCAGGGCTCTGGCTGCTCACTTGTGTTCTTCCAGTGCTAAGGGCAGACGCCTGATCAGCTACAAGGCAAGAGTTGTCCTGCAGTCCAACCACTCAACTGACAATGAGCACATACATGAACTTTCAAAATTAAGATGAAATTCCACAAGAATGATCTATAGGATTAAAATAGATCAAAGACTTATTTGAACTCTCCAAAGAAGCCTGTGACCTTCATAATACTGTTACTGTGCCAGCATATTAAGGGAATTCATAACTCTATAGCTAGTTGTTCTATTTCTATCAGGAATCAAGCCTCAAAATAAAAAGTTAACGCAGTTCTGGTCATTATCTTAAGATAGTAAGAGAGGCAACCAAATACAAGGCATTCTGGGGGAGTAAACTACTGAAACTTTATGAAAAAAAAAAAAAAAACCAAAAAAAAAACAGGGAATCCAAGTGTAGCCTCTGTTCATGCTAAATGGTATGATATTTTCTTCAAATTGTTAAGGATGCAGCAAAAGACCTGTGTTTTCTCTCTGTAAGAAACTGGTGAGCTGAGCAAGGGTACTGCCACTTTATTTTTCTTTCAGAAGTTTCTCATTCAGTTCAGCTTTATTAGAAAGAAAACATGACAAAGTCTTCTTTACAGGTGAAAACCCACCAAAATAATTTTCAGTCTTGGAGATATCTGGCGTAAGCAGTGACTCTTTACACTTCCCAGTCTTGTCCTGTTTAGATTCTCTGAGTTTAGCTGAAAAGAATTATTTTAGTTTTAGCTGCACACGTAATGTTTGAATAGGTTGAAGGGGGAAATGCTGCGAGTGTTGGATATGGCCTCTATTACTCCGGAACCTCTGCAGAAGGCAGTATTTCTAGACTCTTTCTGTCAGAACTGACAAATAAAGGCTGGACGCGTCCGGTCCCCGTGCGAGCGGCGCCGCACGCGGCGTTCCCGGGGGCGGAGCCGGCGGGCGGGGCCGGGGCGGTGGGCGGGGCCGGGGCGGTGGGCGGGGCCGGGGGCGGTGGCCAGCCCCCTCTGCCCCAGCAGGTGGCGCCCCAGGCCGGGCCGCCCGTCCTCGGGACGGGCTGGGGGTTAACGCGGGGGGCGCGTTCCGAGGGCACAGCGGGGTTCCTCGGAGTGACACTTTTAAAATTAGTGTTTAGTATGTTTATTTTTTTTTTTTTTAAGAAAACAGGCGATAATCACAAAGACTTCAACTAGATCTGACTCATCACTGAAATGCAGCAATCTTCAGAAGTATTACGTATGGACAAAATATGTAGTAGGTGTATTTATAACGAGTCCTGCACTCGCGCTGTGAGGGGCCCTGAATTTGCCTCCCTTTTTCATTGTCAGAGCTCTACACCAGAAACTTGCTTTACTGTTAGAGCAAAGAAGCACCAGCGGATCATGGCCAAGGACTAGTGTTCATTAGCATCACACTCATTTGGATCATTCACAGGCTGTGGAAGTCTCATCCTGTGTCTCCTTAAAATTTCACCCAAGCTAAAAGAACAGAAATTTTCTTTGGCTTAGCTTGTGCAAGAAAACATGTTAAAACACAGAAGGGTGGAGAGAGAGCATGCTATTCCACTGGGGCTGAATGAATTCTTTGAGACTGAAACCATACACATTTTATCAAGTACTATATCTGAACAAAATTTGGTCTGTGCATGTATTTTCAAGTCTAATAGTGCAAATGCACAAATTTTAAGTCCATATCCTTCCGACATCAATAGAAACCCTAGTAAGGACTTTAATACAAACATGAGAAAAGGGAAAGCCGATATTTAGTACAACACAATTATCTAGTTGTCTTTTATAGCCATTATCAGACTACATTAGCAAATTAAGCAATATATGAGAATGATAAGCAGTAGGACAATGAAGTTTTGAATAAGGATAGACCTATTCTCAGATGAAATTTGAAAAGGAAACAATTATATAATATTGCAGCTGCTGCAGAATAAGAACCTCTAACACTTACAGTGGCAAGGTAGGGGAAAGAGAAGGCCTCAGTACTAAAGATGGGCAGATAAAAACAGGGACAAATGAAACAAGGAGAGACCCTGGATCATTTGTGTTAGAAAACTGGTTGAAAAAAAAGTAAGAGTAACATTGTACAATGCTGTTGTACAGTGTTTTGGAAAACTGTTGAATATATCAAAAATAGCTTAGGATCAAATCAAATAAACTAAGATGTCTCAGCACACTATTTAAAATCCCTATATTGAAATTTGAGATCTAAACAGGAAAAATCTGGCATCCTCATTGTACTACTCACTGGGTGATAAGGATGGTAGCAGTGATGGTGACATGCTGATGGAAATTTGGCTGAGAGGAGCAGCAAACAATTAGTGATTCCTCCTACCACCATGTAGATTGGGTAAATGACAGCTTAGGCTATGATGCCACTGCTAAATTTTGCTAACTTTGTCTACTGCTCTGTGAAGCAGCCAGCTATGATTCCACTAGAGGAGATGTGTCTCTTGACTTGGTAATGAGCAGTATATGATAATCTGGGTCAGAATATTACTGTCAGTGAGTCAGTCTGCAACACAGACCAAAATGTATTTGTGTTTCACATTTTTGCAGGAGCCTTAAAACAAAAAAATTTGGTAATAGATTTTTTTTTTTTTAAATATATAACACCCCCCTCCCCCCCAAATACTTGTTAAAAAGAACTAAAATTGACTCTCAAAATGGTAAAAGGTATCTAAGTGGCATCAGTGTTATTACAGATGCCCTGTTGGACCAGAAGAAAGCTAGCAGGGCTTAACTGCAGACTGAAGGAGGCTGTTAGTAATGACATAATTTCAAAAAGTTGAAGTCATGTCCAAATGGTGAAAATAGAAAAGATCATAAACTCAGGTCAATTAGATCCCAAAGTACAATAAGACAGGTAAAAATAAGACATTGAGGAAAGAAGGTGCAGTAAACCCTTTTTCAACACACTAGGAGCAGGAAGGCTGATCGATTTTACAGTGTCAGTGTCAAAATCAAGAGCATGCAGAGAATTAGATTATTTTTTTCCATCTACATTTTTTGGGAAGATCAAGGAGGTTTCCACATTAAACTCATGCTTTATGAGGGATGTACAGAAAAAAAAAAATCTCCCTCTATCTAAAATGCCTATAGTCCTATAGAACAGATAAAGAAAATGAAAAACAGAAAATTGCCCAAACCAGATAACTTTTTATCAAGAATTCTAAATGAATTTGAGCATGAAATTCATTCTTTACTGACTGCAGTTACAACCTGTTTCATAAAACAACTTCAGAATCAGAAGAACAGAAATGGCAAATGTGATACTAATTTTTAGGCAGTTTATGATAAATCTGGACAGCAAGAGACCCATATATCTGAGATCCATATTTAGAAAACTGGTGGAAACAATAATAAAAATGGTTATTATATACACAGAAAAATATCTCAGTGAAAAATCAGTGTATCTTTTGCCTCACAAAACTGTTCATGTTCTCTGAATAAGTCATTGAGCATGAGTCCAGTACAGTCTTAGATTTCCAAAAAGCATCTGTCAAGCTCCCTCACGAAAAACTTCTAAAGAAATTAAGCAGGCAAGGGACAAGAGAAGAGATCAGATCTTCCCATGGATAAAGACCTGTTTAAATATGAAACTAAGGTAGAAATAGCTGGTTGTTTTTCTTAATGGAAGAAAATCAGTAGTGGTGTCCAGCAGGGGTCTGTGCTGAGGCATCTGCCATCTGTCAGATTATAAATTGTATAGAAGAGTTGAACGGTGATGTGGCAGTTTTTTCTTAATACTGAATTAATCGGGGTAGTTTGTTTTTTGTTTGTTGGTGGGGGTTTTGTTTGTTGTTGTTTGTTTGTTTTCTTTGTTTTTTAATTTAAGAAAAGACTCAAAAAGCAAGGGATTTAAAAAGACTTCATGATACTGAACATGTTGTGATAAAATTTTATGTAAAATTTAATGGAGATAAGATTCAAGGGCAAACATCCTAAATTATTGAGAGGTTATTGAAGGGTCTTAAAAGTTGGATCAGTATCCAATCAGGTCCAAAATGGAGCTGGTAGGAATTATAAATAAAGCAACACATGGACAAATCCAGAGAGACATGGAATTATATCTCAGTCAAAAGTGATAAAATATTAATACTATTATGTTTTTTAATGATGGTTTATTATTATGATGTTAAAGTGATAGAATGTTCGATGGTGCACCATGAAACTGTCTCCAGTGGGAACTGCACTATGTGAAAAAAAAGTAAATAGACAAAATGGCAGGCAAGGCAAATGGTCTTCCTTTTGATTATGATGTTGATTTTCTATACTCTTCACTGCTGTCAGAGGGAGAGAGCAAAGGATTGAATGTGCTACAGATTTCCATTTTGGTTTGACACTGTCCCACTAAAATTTCATGTTCACACAAAAGAACATGTGAAAGTGACAGCTAAAAGCTGACATTTAAAAAAACGATGATCTCTAATGTCACTTTTGTTAATGTTTTTGATTTTCTATTGCCCTATAGGATAATTGCAAACAATACTGAAAACAATTCAAGTGAACTTGGTTATCTTTCAAGGGTGCTACTGAATCACTTTCCTGCACAATGTTACTTCATTTACTAAAAAATGAGTCTAAGCTTGCTGCAGACTTTTTTCCTCCTCTTCCCTCCCCGCCTGTGACTGTAAAAATTGCTAGCTAGGAATTATTTTTGGTGTTTAGATTTGACAAATTACATGCCCAGTCTGTATGGGCTGAGTTGTAACTGAAAGTGGCCACCTGCACGGAGTGGCCCCACAGCTCCAGCAGAACTGAGCAAGTCTCTGCTGTACCAGTTTGCCCAGACCAAGCTGTGTCACCTCCCTGAGCTTCAGTTTCTAACCTGTTAAAATGAGAAACAGCCCTCTTACTACTGAAATGTGGAGGCATATACTCAAATGCTGTCTTCAGCAGGAGGGGTTTGAGAAGGGGTTTCAACAAGGAAATTTTGTAAAATAGGACTGGGAAGGGATTTCAAGCACAATTGATAATGGGGAAGAGAACAGTAGAAAGGCATTCAAAAAGGATAGCAAACCAAGAATTCTCTAATATAAAAAATTACTTTTAGAAGTATTTTCAGTTCATCCTCCGTCTTCTTCACTCTCTTCCTAATGCTCATTGATAAAGAGGCAATATATCCTACTTTTTCAGCATGTATAGAAGTAATGTCATTTACTTCAGCCTTTTCTAGCAGTGTGTTGTAGGTGGGAAACCTCTGTAAACTATACACCTCTTGCATTCTTATTTATCTGTCTCTTTTTTTTCTTCTAAAAGCTGATTCTCCTTTATTGAGAACCAGCTTATGTGAACTGAAATTTATTGTGGGTTCAGCTGGCTGAGAACATATGCCTACACACAGTGTTTTTGAGAGCTATGACAATTCTTTTCCTGAGCAATCTCTGGGCAGGCTCTAAACCCTGATAATCTAATAATGTCTTTTGGTGGCAGAGGACTATGTTCAAGCCACAGTTTAGAAATAGATGGGAAGCAAATACAAGAAACTCACTATGTCAGACATCCATAGTTAGCCTTATCTAATGTTAATATCATAGAAATTGCTCAAAAAGGAGTTCTTGGATCAGAGTTAAACTCTGAAGAGTTACCAGCTAGATGGACTTCTTCCTACTTTGGCACTTAAACCACTGAAGACACAAGGCTAAGACACTGTGACCCTACCACTATACTTCAAGTTTTATTGTCATTGGATTTGTCTAACACAGGGTTGGTCCATCGGGAATCTTACAGTCCCCTTCCAATTTATGCAGGATTTACAATTTCTAAAAATCAGAAAGTAAATATGAAGAAGCATTAAAAGCCTTCAAGTTTATACAGTGTGTCCATTCAGTTGATCCTCAAAATAGATCATAAGCATGTATCATGCCTGTCCTCTGGTTTTGGGTGGGGTTTTTTGCCTTTTTTTTTTTTTTTTTTTTTTTTTTTTGCTGCACACAGCTGACAGTTGCTGGGTCTGAACTGCTCTCCTTGCTGCCGGTGGGCAGTCTTGTGGACTGAATCTTCATACTAACAGCAGATGGGAAGTTTGGGGCCAGGGGCAGAGTGTTGATACGTGTGCTTTTGACAGACCTGATTAACAGGTTTGTATGTCAGAGAGAAAATTCCCATCAAGAAATCAGGCCCTTATGTGATTAGAAAAGTGTTCATCCACCTTTGACCGGCTATCAAGCTATTGATAACATTTTAAATGGCTTTTAATTGAAGTTTCCTGTTTTTTCTTGTACTCTCTTCTGAAAGTTGTCTTTGTTATCTGCTTTACTGTTTGCTTGACCAAAAATTCTTTCTGATCAAACTAATGGGGATGATTATCTCAAGACGTCATGTCTTATGGTTTTGAAGAACAGGTAGTGAATCAGCTGTTCTGGACCAAATTCCAGATGTTGGATGCAGATGCCAACATTTTCAGCTCTAAGTCAAAGAGAGGGCAGAAAAAAAAAAAAAAAAAAAAAAAAAGTAGTTTACTGGAAAGTTTTTTATATGTGCTTCTGAAACAACCAGTGCCCGGTACTGTTCTACTGCTCATGTCACCCATCAAGAATTCTTTTGATACAATTTACTTTGAGTCAAGATGATAGAGGCAAAAACTCCTTTCCTTACTTAAAGCAGAAAACACTTAATTTGTTAAAGGGCAATTTTATGCCACCTTCCACTTATGCCATACTTCCACCGTGTTTCTTTTCAGATGACAAATAAACCATAGCTGACAGATGAAATGGCAAACCATGAGTGTGGCCCGAAAAGCATTTTGGATTTCCTTCATGTGACCAGTTCTGCAGTTACCATGCAATCACAGTGACTCCAGGAGCAGAGCTGCAGAGTCAAGGCTATTTTATTAAATCAAAATTTACGTTTTATGAAGGAAGCAAATGGAAACAGCGTTAACTATTTTTTGTATGTTTTATTTTCCTGAAGTTATAAAAGTTTGGATCAAACTCATGAATATAAACAGGTATATTACCATTTTTGGCACTTTCTGGGGTTTCCAGACACCTGTAAATAGTGAAGCTTCAGTTTGGGATCCGTGGCCTTGACAAAAAAAAAATGCCTCGTGGATACCAAACCAAATGGTAGAATTTTATTGTGTATTACTAGCATGTCCAAGTTTACTTTGCATTTTAATTGCAGCACAAACAAGGGCCTTACGGCTAGTGGTTGTTATAACCAGTGGTTATTATAACCAGTATTAAAATGGGAATAATAGAATTGTAAAGTATTACACAAAAATGCAGCTTCAATTAGTGAGATGTTTGTGTTAAGAGGTCCAACTGAAGAGGTTTGCTCATAGCTAGGGGCACTGGAGCTTGCGTATTTGACAGCACATATTTGGCCTCCCTCCTTTCTCCTGTTTTTGGTGGATACAGTGCTGATTCTGTTTATATCTTTCAGAAGTTGTATATTTGATAAATATGTCAGACTCCCATCCAGGTCGGTTTTGTTGTGGATGTTTTGGTAGCTGGTTTTGTTTTCTCTGGTGCTTACTAAATGAATGCACTGAGAAGGCAGGAAGCAGAACACTGACTAAAAATCTGCTTGGCAACTCAGCTGACCTCTATTCTCTTACCAAGGATCTTTTGCAGAGATAAAATAACTGGCCCAATTTACAGACTGATTATTCCTTGGATACCAATTGCACGGAGGCTGCAGGTGGTTCATAAGCTTATCTCTCTTCATGTTTTTTTAAGAAGAATGAACTTAATTTAAAAGAATGTTTGCCTGTTGGCTGTTCCTGCTGTGAGCAGCCTTTGGGGATGTTGCCTGGTTGCTGCTCACGTGCTGAGTCCTGATGGTCACACAGGTCTCTAGGGCCCACTGAGGTCAGCAGGAAACCACAGATGGTGTCATTCCCAGAGCTTTGGCTGCACCATCCCAGAAGCTTGTGCTGTTGAGGGGACCCTGATTTTATTCCCACATGGCACCATCTGGCCACTCTTGACATTGAATTGAGCAGTCGGAAATTTTTGCTTTTGCCTACTTTTAAACCATCCAAAAATAATGTAAATCATTTCCTTTTACTACTGGAAAAAAAACCCACCATATCTGTTGAAAAATAAATTATTTTGAAGTGTGATGCTTGTGATCTCCAAAGCCAAATATTTGAAATACTCCCTTTGTGTAATAGCACTACCAACTGCTCAGCTCTTTAAAGGAAATGCTCATTAAATTCTCTCATTGCAGAATCAAATCCTTTATAAGTGTTTCTTAAAACTAATTAAAAAAAAAAAAAAAAAAAAGACACCCCCACCCCCAATTAATCTTCCCAGAGAGGAGGTCTGATTTAAAACTCTTAGTTGCTTGGCATAGACTGCTGGACTAAGTTGGACTCTGTGAGTTATAAGTTAGGGCTTCGTGTCCTGGCATGCAGTTGCACTGATACTATTTTACACTGCTGAGAGAGAATGCTAGTGCTAAAAATCACTGTTACCTCCATCTTTCGCTAATGGAATTTAGACACATGACTGAACTCCAGGTAGAAAAAAATCCTGTGCTTCTGTGAAGCTGTGTCCTTTGGTACAAGGCGCCAGTCATTACAGACAGTACTTCATCTCATAGGATCCACTTCTTTTCAAGCTGAGTCAGGCAATTCATGCACAATTACAAAATGAAAAGAGGAAGGGCATGTACTATTGCACTTCATTAGAGGCACGGAAGGTTTCATGCACTGGGACAGGTGTATTGAGCTAGCAGACTGGATATATGTTGCCACATTTTCACCAGTGCCTTGAAGAAAATAATTTCATGGCTTATATACAGTACCTCCTGATGGTCTGGTGGTCACTAATAGAAGAAGAATTTTTATTTGCTTTTTCCTCCCCCATTTTTCCCTCCTTTTCTTGCTAGGACATGGCTTTATTGGTTCTTCCTATTCAGAACTCCTCTTCTTGTGTCTGGCTTTTTAAGGTGCATTGAATACAAGTTGTTTAATATAGTGCAGTGCTCTACAGACAACCAAGATAAATTTGACGAGGAGGAGAAATTCACTGCCAGCATCAACTTGTTTCCATATCCATGTCTGTGTATTGGAAACGTGCACTTCTAAGAGTTTATAAAAACCCTGAATGAATTTGAACCAAACATTGTAAGAGCTGGTCCAGTGAAAATGATTAACTTTAGAACTGCTGCAAATCCAGGCAACCCTCCCTAGCTCACATGATGCTTCTGCTAGATGCTCACTATCAGACTGTGCAAAGTTTATGGCAGTTGCAGTTCCAAGAGTTGGGAGTTTGGGCATTACATGGGGCATTTCTATGACCTGAAAATCCTCTGCTGAAAACACTATAGCTAAGGAAATGTTTTACTATACCTTTTGTATGCCATACAAAAGCTTTGACGTGGGCACCAGTGTTTCAGGGGCTGGGCAGAGGGCTTTGGAAAGCTGGATGCCCTGCTCCCCACGTGCCACGGGAGGCTCCATTCCGCCGCTCGGTTCCAGTGGAGGGCTGAGAGCTCTGAGTCCAGTTCCACACCAGCCTTCTAGTAAAAGTTGAATTTTACTCTTTGGAGGAAATCTTTGGGAAAGGTGAGTTTGTACTAGCACAGTTGGAAAGACAGAAGCTGTTATGTCTGCAGGACTTTTGTAACTTGTATAAAAGGTTCTGCAATGGTACTTGAGGGCGTACGGTATATGACTGTAACCAGCCCTGCTCTACAGCATGGCAGTCCCTGCGCCGGCAGTCTGTCTGTCCTTTCTCTGAGGAGAGTGGAAGAACCATCCTTGGGAGGAAACTGAACTCCGAAGGCCCCTGCCCTCTAGAGAGGGTGTGTGATGGATTCCAGTGACAGCACTAGGTGTGAAAGTAATTTCAAAGCACTCTTCATTCTTTTACTGGGTCCTCTTTTTTTTTCGCCAGTGCATCTGTTGTGTCCTGAAATGCCATTTATCAGTTATTATGCTTTTAATATTTAAATAAATTGTAAAAAGGCTTCCAATTATTAAGGTGCATGATTGCTCTGTTTTACTTGCTTTTTCAGGCAAGCTAGTGAAACATTCTGGCAAGACCCACGCTCCCAGATCAGGGCTCGAATCACTGCTGTCCTGCATGTTATGTAAGTGCCAGTATATGTATAGACTCTGTGAGACTCAGTGCTTTTTCAGTGGCATATCTGCTTTGAATTGATAAAAGTTATTAGGAATGGAGCAATTAGGCCTAATGCTTCTGGTATAAAAACCCCTAACATTTACCCACCAAAGTCACAAATATATAGAAATACGTAGTCACCAGATTATATATCTTGAAATAGCAAAATGATAATGGCAAAGCAGAATTTTATCATTAGATTTTGGCAGAAAGCAGAAGGCTGCAATTATTTTAGGAAGGGTTTAGCACTTACATGCCAAGCTCTGAGTACTAAGGCTAATATATCTAGGAGTAGGTTTCAAGTCACCAACAATTTGGAAACAGAAATCTGAGATGAGTCTGTAGCCCTCATTATTTTCTTTTTTTTTTTTTAATTTTTTCCACACTCACACCTTGAGCATTCTAAGCTTAGATACCATCATTTTTCTCCCTTGAATGCTTTTTTTATAATAGCATGGGGATTTTCCTCCTCTATACTCCCTGCTGTGATTAATTTAAATAATTTATTTTTAAGGTGGCGAGCTTCATACTTTTTCTGTTATAATGAAGAATATAATGTTGTAATAAGTCAACTGAAAGGGAATTCTTCCTTGACATTTGATGGGCTAATATAGGTGTCTTTCCAAAGCATACTTATTTTGATTTTGAGGCAGAGATATTCTGCATCACCTTTGGTTGGTAAACAAAACACCTTGATTTATTATTCTTGCAGTAAGCAGAACAATGGCTTTAGCTGCACAATGATGGTGAAAACATGTATTTAGGTCTGTCCCATAGTGTTCAGATACTCTGAAAGTTTGTATCCTTATTTAATCTAATAAGGCGACAATAGTTAGTACCTTGATGTACAAGTCAGACTTTAACGAGCAAACTAATCAGAAGGGCAACCTCTGGTACCTGTGGATTCTATGTAGATGCGTAGAAGTTCCCTTCTCCAGGAAACAGGTTTTGATGCCACACTCCCTGCTCAGATAAACCTCTTACTGATTTTCAGTGCTGGAGAACTTGTCCTAGAGACTGGAAATAGAGAGCATGTTTTTTCTTTAATGAGTCCAGCTTCTTCATAGTTTAAAAATTTCTTTCTTCAAGTGACAAGGAAAGATTTACACATCCGTAATTATGCAGGACAGTTCATTTGCATGTTGTTAAATTTGTGGTTTACATTTGTATAAAATGTTATATTTCAGCAGACAGACACTGTCACTAAATTCATTAATCTTTATGCTATCTTATATTATTGGAGAATTTTTAAAAAATCCAAGCATTGATGCAAGTCTAGGAAATAATTATGTATGTATCAAATATTTATTGTTTGCTCATAAAAATTGGAATGCCACAATGATAAGACAGATACACTTTACAATGTAACAAAAAATTATATGTAAAATTTTATAGCACTAATCAAGAACAGGAAAGTATTGAGTTCCACAACACCTTTAAATTTTAAACAGACACACATTGCAAAATCCCTTGAGCAAAACGTAAATAATACATTATGAAGATATAAATTTCATTCTGCGTCTCCCCAAAAAGGGGAGGCTGTGTGTTGAGAAGACCAACCTGTGTTGAAAACAGACTCCAACAAGGATGGTTACAGAAAACAAACCAACCAAACAAAAACCCTATTATGATTCAGCTATAGACTTGTCTTTATTGTACTTATAAAATATACATAGCCTTTTATTGAATTGCCTGCTGTCGAAATCTGCAAGAATTTTATTGCTTTTTACTGTCCTGGAGAGGAATAAAGCAGCAGCCTCTGTGTAATTTCATAAGAAGCAAGGACAGTAAATCTAATTTTGCTGGATATGGGATCGATGGCAAAAAATCATGCAATGACCAAAATTTAGAAGTGTTGGAATACACAGTATCTGTATGTTTCTCCTCATTTCTATTTTCAAAACAATTTTTTTTTCTATTTATATCTGAACACATTTCACATTACAGTGCACTGTATGAACTATTTTAAGCTTTGTATTTATATATTTCCCATGATAAGTACATTAGCCTGTTCCAATATTAAATCAGGGCTTGAGTCTGTGCACTTTACAGCAGTATCTCCTTTCTTTCACTTTGAAATGGGATGTAGCTGTCTCTGCAATATGATGGGAATGAGGAGGGCTTGTCCATTTAACAAAATCCTTTACTTGGCTTTTATTTCCTTTCCTCTGAACTGAATGAGGGATCAAAGCATGACACTCACAAACTGTCTCCAGAGAAGCCACTATCCTGGAGCTTGAAAACTGGGGTATAATTTTAAAGTAAAATGTATAGCTTAGGAACTTTTCAACAAGATATACAGTGTACTGCTTTTTGCTGTGTTTCTAACCTTGGGAACCCTTTGAGTCTTTCCCAAATTTCCCAGACATCCAAGGGAATACTGGACCAATATATGACCAATTGCTTTTCACATCCTTTCAGGAGTGAAATAAAGCTCTGGAAAAAATTATTTGACCTTGTATGTGTTCAGCAGCAAAGTCAGTTTAACAGTTCAGGGACAAGTAGGAAGAAAAAGTTATTTTCCACTGTAAGTTTTGTAGTTTTGTATGAGGAAAGGACATTCAGGAGCTCATATTATCAGATATGGTCTATCTGTTCTGATTCTGGAGGATCCCAAAACACTTCACAGTTTAAAAGTCTGATGCAGATCAGACGTCAGTTCTTGCAACTTTGATCACTAGGAACTGAGGATGTACAGAATCAAACTCTTAAATTAATAACATTTCAGGACAGACAGTCAGCAAGAAACAATAATCCCACTGAAAGTTTTGAATGCCAGAGGACATGAAAAAAGAAAATTTGAAGAAGGGGCAGTATAATGCACAGATGGCTGAGAAGGAAAAAGATTTTCTTAGCATGGGACATATGAGCAAGAGACTATCTGTTGCTACCAGAAAACTACAGTACCTCTACCTCAGTGTCAATGAAGTACGGAATGGCCTGGGAGCAAGATTTTCTTGTACCATAAACTGAAAAATCCTTCAGTCATAATAAGACTTGACTATGAGTCATAAACTTGTTGCTATCTAGAGTGCTGAAAATCCTGACTTATCTTTTTTTTCCAAATTAAGTTTGAAAAGGCCATTAAAGTTTGGATTTTGTAGAGTAAAAATATTATGCAGATTTTATGTGGCAGAAAGATGCTACTCAGTTTGATAAGCAGAAGGCTTGCAAATCCAAACGTTTGTGATCTGAAACATGAAAAAAAAAAAGTCAGATTAGTTTAACTAGGGAAACAGAATTTTAAGGTACTACCAAGTCAGTACTTGTTTGGCATTTTGGAATGGGATCCAGCAGAGCTTGTGTCTTCCCCAGGGGCCCAGTTAGAGCCATGGGGAGTGCACAGGACCAGGGCACCAGCGTGGTTCTCACCCACAGGGGTCCAAGGCACTCTCCTGGCAACTGGCAGGTGGGTTTTTTAGCATGGAGCAGAGGAATGAGAGTGCTAAGATGCACCTAATGGAGGGCAGCTGTCTTTCAGTTTGTGGCAAGACTGTTGTCATCCATGTAGAGATTTCAAATTAAAAGGTTATGTGAAAAAATATATCAACAGTTTTTAGTGGAGCACTTGAAGTCTGGCATTCCCTTCCCTGGACTGAATTCTTGAAATGAATGCTGGAAGCTTGGTCCCAGGAACAGTACTGAAAAGCTAAAAATTTGTTCAGCTTTCATGATGGAGTCCTGCTGCCATAGACTTCTACCATGGGAAAGCTGAGGCAGCTCAGATGCTCACAGAGAATGAGTCTACAACGCCCTCTCACAATCAGTGGCTATTCTGAATGAGCTTTGAAACCTATCCAGAAACAGGTCCTAGAATAACTGGCCAGTCTGTTGAGTGTTGCCTTTGTGGAAATGAAATTACTGCTGACCTTCCACAGGTGTGCAGCTGGCTATGGCACTGCTGGGCTTATCAGGTTTCCCTGAGCATGGCAGTGCAGCTTGACGAGCTGAGGATGCTCGTTATGTTCAGCAGTTGGGCTCTTGCACATGCATTTCTACTAGCTCAAATAATTGAAGTTGAAAATCACTACTCTGTTGTCTCTAGATTTGCGTGTTTTCCTGTTCTACCAATATCAACTTTAGTCTCTTTTTGGAGGCAATTCATGTGGCTGCATGAATACCTGTAACTTTGGTTTTGTGTGTTGGCTTGACAAAGCAACTGGTGTAGTTTAGTGTGTATTCAAATAGGGAAGGAATGTTAACTCTGTGGCAGTGATCAGAATTCTCTGAGAAATCTTTAGTCTTGCCAGGAGGCTACTGACACTCATTTTTTTGTTTACAGGGAGAAAAAAAATGGTATTATTATGATGCTGGGCTATTCTTGTTAGTTCATGAAATAGATGAAATCTTTCTGGAAAATGTTGGTCTAATTAATCATCTTGCCTCAGTTTCTGTTTCTCTGGCATCCTGAGAAGAGCATTCTGAGGCTATATGCATTTATTCCTGTGTAAGAAAGTTGAAGTGGTTTTGATCTCTAGAAAATTTTGCAAGCATATGTTCTCACATTTGCTTCAATTTGCTTTTTGTTTTTATTGGAAAAAAATGCTATTTATTACTGTTGTGTAAAATAATTATTTTGTAAAACACAAACAAACCTAACAACTATAGCAACAGTTAACTATGTTTTCAGGTAAAAATAGTGAATTTTATCCCAGGAAAGAACCTGCAGAAAGTTCCTAAGGGAAATAGTTGGTTTTCATTTGAGTAAATAGAATAAATTCTCGCTAGGATGAATTGAAGTATCCTCACAAAATTCTGTAAAAAGAAGTTAGTGTCTGTATGGGAAAATCCATTTAAAAAAAAATAATCTATAAAGCAGAAAAACATTTTAGCTCAGCTTTAATACAGCGATCAGGGGGAGCATGCATCTTTGTTGCCGAGATGGGGTCTTCGGCAAATATACCCTTACCCTGCCTGTCACTGGTGACGGACAGACGTCATGTCTTGGGCAGGCAGCAGACCCCACTGCCGTGCGAGCCCGGGGGATGGCAAAGGGCACACCAAGAAGCTGAGGGTAGATAGGCTCTCCTGTCCCACCCTGTTCCAGTAGCAGGTGAAAGGCAGCTGAACATAAATTGTAAATGTGTCTGAAAGCACTTTGAAATTAACTTCTAAATTGTGTTGTTATAGAGGTTTTCTGAGGGGGGAAAAAGGAAATTCTGTACCATGTGTCTCAAAAAATGTGTCTTATTCTCAGACATTTCTTCTTTACACAATGGGGTTCCTTTCTGTCTGAATTTGTTTTGTTTTGTTTTGTTTTTTTTTTTAAGACTGCACAGGCACTTATGAGAAGATGCTTATCTGGGGGCACCATGGACAAAAAGAATGTTAAAAATCAATTTGGCATCACATGCCATATTCTGGTATTTTCAAGAAGTAGCTTGATGCCAAATGCCTGCAAGTAAATATGTATTTAGGAATAAACTGATACCAGGCTCCTGCAATAATAATTTGTTATCAGATGCTGGTTCTTTAAAGCTCTTAGATACTGGATACCAGCAAAAATTCAATTCATTCTTTCTTGTGGAACAAATCTTAAGTGTTTTACTGTCTAAATTCTGTCATGAGGCCAGGAATGAGACATAGAGCATTGTATTGATACTGATGCTGTCTCTTTTCTTTCAGCAACCACGATGAAAAAGGAATTCAGAGGAACACAGACGGAACTCAAAAGTCTAGGCACTGGAGGAAAAAAAAACAATGTTAACCTTTCCTTAGATACATAGACCTGAGAGTTACTGATGTTCAAGGGGCTGAAACTTTTGTCACGTCACTGGCAGTGAGGGTCAGAAAGGGTCAGTCCTGCAAAAATCACCTATATGAATGTATCCTTTGAAACTTCTGCTTGATTCTTAAAAGCACATCTCTGCAGAATTGCATAGACTGTGGAGTATGCTGGGAGCTGCTTATGCAGTACCTACTCTTTATGTCTATGTGCTGCCTTCCTGGACCTTATGGGCTATGCAAGGGCATCAGCTGGACACCCGAGTGTACGGGTGAGCGGCTCTGACTCCTGCAACACCACCAGACTTGGTATGGAGGAAATTCACAGGCAGGTCACCTGCAAGGCTAAACAACTACAGAATCCAAAGTGAGTGTTGCCAGGCATTCAGGCACTGGAATTGCAATTTATTTTTTCTATTTTTTTGTTTTGTTTTGTTTTAGTTTTCTGGAATGTGAAATACTGCCTTTAAAATCAGTCTGTTTGGGGAGTGAGTGGTGGTGGTGTAATTTTTGCTTTTGTGAGACTTATACCTGGCCTAAAACTATCCTGCGTATGGGGAGTTCTTCTAGACATCTGGCTGAGTCCTAAGCAGGGTAGCATACAGACACTGCTAACCGCAGTAACTTCACTGATTAACTCAATAGATCACTCTCGCTGTGCTGGAATCAATGACAGTGGTTAAAGGTCTGTCCAATTGCTGTCTTTCCAGTAATGAGTTTATAAAAAAGCTGCCACCAAATAGTTTAGTGTCATGTGTTTTCTCCTTTATTGATTTCAATAAAAAGGCTAATTTGGAGGTATGCTGGGTTGTCATTTCTGGGTGGCGGGTAGTTAATATAACTAATGGCATTGCTGCAGCACAATGGAAACATCAAACCTGCCTCACTCACAGGAAACAGACTGAGATTAGCAGACAAAGAGGGATGTTCCAAATGCACATCCTAGGCTGGACAAGATGTGGCAGCTGCCAGGATGCATGTTGATTAAACTGCACGTGAAAAGTGCAGCCAAATCACTCAGCACCTTGCTCCTCCTTGGTTCCAGAAAACCATTGCCTTTCTCCAGACCTCGTCTGCATATTGCTGTGCTGTGTCATTCTCAAGCGCAGCATCAAGGGACTGGGACACCCCTGCTGCGGCGGGGCCGCAGGTGTTGTGCAGGTGTGTGTGTTGACCCTTTCTGGTGTGTCAGGGTTTCGTCCCGGTTTCAAGCCGAAAGGCAGCCGGTGCCAGCGCTCTGACAGGCAGTGGTGCGGCAGAGCCGGGGCAGGGGCCAGCCCTGCCGAGGTGGGACCCCCCTGCCCTGCGGGCACTGGGACTGACAGGGCCCTCTGCATGCAGGGCCCGGCTGCTAGCGGGACTTAAATGTCTGGAACTGCTGCATCTTTCAGCTCCAAACCGCTGTTCTCCGTGCTCCTAGACCAAGGCATCGGTAGCTGGATGAAGCAGTCTCTCTGCAGAGAACTGCTTGATCCTCTGAGCCAGGAAATCGCCGAGGGCCCCTGAGTGCAGCTGGGGTGGTTCCTTCACATTTGCATGCTAGTGGCATTCAAAGGGATTATTTCTTCCTGGCCTCACATTTCCTTGGGTTTAGATCCCAATCTGTTCACTGCATCCTCTCATGAGTGTTAGGATTATAAATTCTTATGCTTTTCAGACTGCCATGACCAATGCTTAGGCAAAGGCTGCCATAGCAGAAGTTGATGCAAGAATGGCCACAATAGTTTAAGAACACAGAACTTGCCTAGAGTAAAAAAAGTTTTAGCGTCAGACTGTGTGGTATGTGGCTCCGAGCCACTTGAGATTGAGCCCTTAGCTTTTTAAAGAATTCTGGCTTTGGAAATATTAGCCTAAGCAGTTCTGAGTAATATTTCGGGAAAGTATTATATTGGCTTTAGCTACTATAAGTCCAGCATTAGTAACAAAACTCCAGTTAAATACCTGATGAAAACAAAGCCATTCTCAAAAGACTGGATCTGTTTAAAAACAGCATCCACTCTGGCTATATTAAAGGTTCCCTTATTTCAAAAGAAAAGGATTAAACAGAATTTTTTTTTTTTTTTCCCAAACAAACCAATCTAAACTTAGTTTGACAACAAAGAAAACCTGTTTAGCTGTGAACTCTTCTAAATACTAAGCTTCATTTGGTGCTACATAATGGGAGTGTGCAGCTGCCTGCTAAGGACTGTGGTTTGCATCCTGGGTTTCTCAGTGTCATGACGAAAGGTGAACTGGTCCCAGTACCAGCTACTTGAGCAACAGTTGCTTACAGCCCTAGACCTCAGGCACACTGCAACTAGTGGAAGGACTCCCACCGCTTTCCAAAGAGCTGGAACTAAGCCTGTGGCGATGAAGGCCTATCCTAATTTCCCCTCTAGACTGGGGGCAGACAAAGCATCCCAGAGAGTGGCCAGTGAATCACTATGTCCACCACTCGTGTGCCAGCTCTGTCATCCTCTATCAGCCCTGGCCTTTGGCTCCCCCCTTCTGCTTCTCCCAGTCTCCTCTCTCTTCGGGAGGTGCCTCAGGCAGGACTAAAATCAGATGCCCTCCCTCTTTTCCTAGCCTGGGGTATGAGAGGCAGAGACATTCTTCCTTTCCCCCCCACCGGGGAAGTGGAGCTCCCTGAGCTTACACCCCTTCATAACCTCTTTTGTGTGTTGGTGGAACAAAAGTCAGGTCCCTGACTGTCAGCCTCTGGGAGAAAAGCAGTCAGTGGAAAAACAGCATAATAAAGGTGCTTCCTCCAGACAGCACAGAAAATGTACTCTGAAACGTACCTTCCCCACTCCTGACACCAGGCTAGAGGTCCCATTTCCAGCCTTGGTGCAGTGTACCCTGAGCACTAGTAAGAGCTGTTTTTGAGGGTTACTTACTGATAGTCCAGCACTGTGATCTGTGCTTTCCAAGAATGAGATGAGAACATGGTGCTGAGGCAAAAATCTGGATGGGGATGTGGCATTCTTGTCTTGTATCACCAGAACAGGAACTTTCACAGTGACTGAACACACACACTGCTATGGAGCTCAGTGACACTGGAAGCTCTTCATATCCAGATATTAACAAGATCTGTATGGATATTGTTGATAAAGATACTTGTGGGAGACAAACCGTTAAATAGTGGGTAGCATGTAATTTAATATGAATCAAGAAAGATAACATGTCCCTTCTATCTCTTAGTGCAGAGCTTCTGCACTTCCTCTGAAGCAGGTGGTGCTGGCCACTGGATATATGGAGACCGGAGCCAGGCTAGTAACTTCTCAGACTCTCTTGTACAGTGTGCCCAAGTCTTATTTTCAAGCAAGAGTATATCCAGTTGCACTAGCATGTAGCCTTTGCTTGTGTTTTAGTTTGTCATGACTATAAGATTATGATGTGTTTGCTATGTGTTTAGCTTTTGTGTGTTGTTTACTCAAGGAAACACTAACTGCTTGGAAACCAGCATGTGTGTGATGCATGAGTGCAATCCTGTGTACATATGTGACTGCACTCGTGTATATAAAAACGAGTAGCACATGGAGAACTGCTTTCTCATTTCACCTCATTTTACTACCACATAAGTGGGTATGAACACACAGGTGCATATCTCAAGCTTACATACTCTAATAGGAGAGTTCTTAAGTTTTCATCTCTGCTTATAAATGAAATTGGTGAAATCACTGTGGTTTTAGATAGAAAAACACAACTAAAGCTGCTCAGCTGAATGATTTTTGGCACAATATGAAGAAAAAAATAGACGCTGGCTTCTCTTTCAAATAAGTGCTGTGCTCTGCAGAGCAAAGATCAAGCCAAAGTTCACGTTATCAGCTCCTGTACCTCACCTGGGGCTCTGTTATTGATAGGTCTGTCATCCTCCCTAATATTGAAGGGGTAATAGCAGCCGATGATTAGGCCACTCTCAAGCTATTAACTACATTTCTTATCCCTTTTATAAGAGCTTCTTAGTCAGCTGGGAAACAAAGGCTGCCTTCAGCGAACAAGAGCCCAAATTGTGGGCCTGCATCCTGCAACCTGAAAGACACAACTGTTGCACTTAGAGGAGCCTCCGAAGGCAGCGAGGGGGTGGATGTCAAAGGTTACCCTGTGGTGTTATCTGAAATGAGCGGGCTCTGACTGCCTCTCGTGCTGACAGAAGCTCACAGAGAAATTACAGAAAATTGCCTGTTTTGTCAACATTTTCTCGGGAGGTTTATAAAAAAAAAGACTCTAGTTTCAGAGAGTTAAAGGGGCTCAGTCAGCCTAGAAGTGACTGACAAACACTCTATTATTCATCTATGTAAAAAAGTGATATTTTATATCATTTCTTTGAGTGATTGTTAAGTGACTGGATAGTGACATTGACATGCAAGATAATCCCAGTAATATTTCCAGTTCTTGTTTGAAGGCAGACTTGCACATTTGTCAGTGTTGACAATAGATATTCAAAAAGCAGTGGTGATGAACAGTCAGCTCCCAGTACAAACTCAAAACCTCCAGAGGAATCTGCACCCTCATATCTTAACACAGCATGGACTGGAGATGGACTGTACTGTGGTGAAAAAAACAGGCATGCAGTCTCCTTAACCAATCACTTCACCTTGGGTAAAACTACAGATATGAGCAACAGGACTCCTGCCATATTGAAGCTAGAAAAATATCTTTTACTGAATGGCTCTTGTTTTAATCACGTAGCAGATTTTCTTCTATATAGACTGTTACTGAGTTGGAAATGCTTTTGCAAGAATGGAGCAGCTAGTAAGCTTGGAAAAAAAATGACTTAGCTAAATGTTGCTTGTGGATGGTGGATGGATGCACTGTGAAAGAGTCCAATCTGTAATCTTCACTGCTTTCTCAGAAAACATGGAGTTTTGGTCACTCTTGCCTCAGATCTCTTGTAAGGAGACTGCCTTGTGTAGTTTAAGTTTGGTGGTTCATTGTTGGAATCACAGGGAAGAAAGACGTGTTTAGCAGAGTAAAATTCTAACTAGTCTCTCTTACTGTAAGCCTGAAACGTAGGCATTTACAATGTAGAGCTGATCTCTGGCATTCTACTGAAACGGTCCTGTCATGTCATCCAGCATTTATTCAGGACTCAGGGTAGCTGTTTGCATATGCAAATGAGTATCTATCATATTGCAGTCACCACTGGCTAGTACTCCAGTCCTGTTTCTGTGACAGAGGCTTGGAACTTCCCCTCATGATGCTTTCCCTCAGCCTTTTGCATTACGGATAGCAGATGTTAGAGGCTATTTTATGAGGCCCACAAAGGCTATTTACACCTTAGCAGAATTGATGTCTCTTAGCTACAACTCATAAACCCATCAATAACTTGCTGGATTTGTAGTGTCACTGCTGGTCAGTAGATGTTGTCAGATTGCCAGAGAAAATGTTACAGAGCGACTGAACTAGAAAGACAATTTGGAACAAATACACATGAACTTCCTAAGGGACACTCTCTGGGATCAAGTATGAATTTTATAATAAATGTGGCTTTGAAGTATTCTACTAACGTACTTTTTGAGAAAATATAACTTTATTTTGGTGATAAGGTGCCTTTGGCATTGTTGCTGCTGGTAACAGAAGGTTTACGGTGAAGGAAACAGACACAAAAGCACAACAGAGATGTTGTTATTGGAGTGCTCACTGGGTGCTAGTGACGTTCAAGTAAGTCTACAGAGTCAGTGCAAAGTAAAATCTCTGGAAGTGCAGATAGTGTGGATAGAGGATGCCTGGGTGCCCTCAGACTTACAGAGGAATGAGAAC